ATCTTCAGGGGAATGCTTCCAAACATGCTTCTACACATCGCTGTTAGGTTGCTTTGCCGGGATATGTTTAAAAAGCTCCAAAAGGGACCCCGAAAAAAGTCCAAAAATCAAAATCGTCCCCGGACCATGTGTACTATTCTTGAATATTCCTCGTCTGGAGGGACAGGCCCGGACCGTCAGACTGGCGGCCGCCAGGGGGGGGGGTCCACCAGGCGCGGGGGAGGCCTGTGTACTCGGTGACGGCGGCCCGCTTCCCGAAGTTCCCCCCTCCATAGATCGAGGGCAAAAAATCCACCCCCATCCAGGGGGGGTCCGCGTTGTCGTCGTCGTCGTCGTCGGCTCCTCCAAGCTCCCCTCGCTTTCACCGACATCATCACCGTGACCCTCACCGCCTGCGCAGCAGCATCATCACACCACCATGGACGCCCCCGAAGACCATGGGAGACAAACTTAGAGGGCAGAAAATCCAGCCCCATAATAATCACCCCGACACGCGAAGGCGTTTACGAAACGCCCCCACTGAAGGGCCGTTTGGTAAACGCTAATTGTCCGGTCTGGTTGGTTTTCCTTCCTTGAATACAGGTGACGGAAATTATTGAGCAATACTCATGCAGAGCATACAGGTGTCAGCAACAACTAAGCAACGCTCATGCAGAACATATGCTTTGAGCTCCCCCACCCTCCCCCTGAGACGCAACGTTGGCTTCGGATCTTCCTTAGTTTGGGCCTCCGAGTGGTCTTCAAGGAACGAGCCAACTTTCAATTGCGATGGAAGGAGAGTTGCTTAATTTCTTCCCTCAACCGTACTACCCGCCCCCACACTATCAGGGAGACGTGAGCCTCGGGTTCGGGAGACTCGGGCTGGCCCGACGGTGCCGTCATAAAAATGACGAGACACGATCTGAAATTTCAAGCAAAAATCATCCATCCATACAGGTGTCGGAAACAACCAAGCAATACTCATGCAGAACATGAAGGTGTCAGAGGCAACCAAGCAACGCTCATGCAGAACATATGCTTTGAGCTCCCCCACACTGCCCCCAAAACGCAACGTTGGTTTCGGATCTTCCTTATTTTGGTCCTCCGAGTGGTCTTCAAGGAACGTGCCAACTTTGAATTGCGATGGAGGGAGTGTTGCTTAATTTCTTCCCTCAACCGTACTACCCGCCCCCCCCATTATCGGGGAGACGTGAGACTCGGGTACGGGGAACTCGGGCTGGCCCGATGGGGCCGTCATAAAAATGACGAGACCCGATCTGAAATTTGGCGCGAGCTCCCGCCGCAGGCATCCCACGAAAACTGGACCGTCAAAATCCAAGACGCGCTCGTCGAAAAACGTCGGCAAATCCGAGTTCCGACTTACTCGCGTCTTACGTTTCCCCGACACCAGTAGTCAGAAGCGTAGCGGCGGTGGAAGGGAGGTGCTGGAAGACCCCCGACAGAATGGCCGCCAGAGGTCACCAAAGGCCCCCCAAAAGAAAACCCCAAGGGAGTCCCAAAGGCGCTCCGTGAGTGAAAGATCCTGGCCCAGAGGAGATGGTTCAGGACAACGATTTGGAAAACGCTGGCTTCGATGTGTCCAATAGGAGCATAGAGAGCCCAAGAGAGCTCGAAGAGGGCTCCAAAGCCTCACAAAAGGGTCGCAAAAGGCATCGAGATGGCTCCAATGAGACCTCTCCCGGCAAGGTCCGCTCAAGGATGCCAGAAGTCCTACCCACAAGATGCCCCAGGAGCGCCCCAAGAGAGCACAAGGGAGCTCCAAGAGGGACCATGGGTCCGCATCAATAAGTGGCGGGTCTCACGTTGGCCCAAACATGATCCCAAGATGCCTCAAGATTGCCGCACGATGGTCCCAGGCAAGCCCAAGAGGGCCTTCAGAGGCCCATCAGCAGGGCCTCCACAGGCAAAATTTCACAGATTCCGATAGAAAACCGTCCAAGAAGGCACGAGACACCCAAGATCGTCCCAAGGCGAGCCAGGAAGCTCCCAAGCGGGCCCCGCGATGCCCCCAAGATGTCCCGAAGAGGCTCCCAGAGAGCCCTAGAGGCCCCCGAGAGCCCCTAGAGGCCCCCCCCAAGATGCCCCCATGACGCACCCAAGAGGCCCCCACGAAGCTCCTACGAGCGCCCAAAGACTCCAAGAAGTGTCCTCGAGACCCCGAGGGGCCCCAAAAGGCCCCCCCAGGGGGTCCGAGAGGCCTCAAGGGGCATCCGAACCGCCCAACCCAAGAGGGCCCAAGAGGCCCCCGCAACGTCCCCAAGAGGCCCCAGGGCGCCGCAAGAATGCCTCCCAAAGACCACTTGTAGGCCTCCCACGCGAAACATGACGCCTCCCAAAGAAGCCTCTTGTCCCTCTCGAGACCCAATCCTCCTTCTCGCCCGACACTGGCACACCAGCAACCGGAATGAGCGAAGCGATTAAGTAACGAAGGCCCTTGTTGGCCACAAAGCGCATGTGCGCATGAGGATCGCTGAAGGAACAGTCATGGAAGGACCTAAAACTGCGAGCCACTTCTGGACCCGAAGTGCTCCTTATATCAGCGTCTTGTCTGTAATGCTTCTCCATCTCCCCTCTCACGACAACTGTGGATACCTAGGCCACCGAACTTCGCGCATCGCCCCGCGATGCGCGAGGCGCGACTTTCTTCGCGCCCTCGCGCTCTCGTACACCCCCCTTGGAGAAGGGCAATCGCTCTAGCCCTGACCGCGACGCGCGAAGCGCTATCATCTTCGCGCCCCAGCTGATGACCTGGGGCACGCTGGCGGGGACACTCGAAACAGCAAGAACAAGAACTGACAGCTTTCGGCCAGAACCAGGCTGCGGGGGGAGACGGGAGCTCTGCGGGGGGTCCAGCACCACCAGGTGCACTGAGTAGGAGCTCGACCACCACAAGAAACCTTCCACAAGAAGCCCAACCCTGAGACCCCAGGACGGCCACTGATTCTTGGTTTGGGAACGTCACGCTTTCCATAGCAAAGCCATCGAAACCGAAGAAACCCAGGGCACCCTGGAGGCAAGCAGGGTGCTTTTTGGCCTTGGTTTCCACTGCAGGTGTTCCTCGGCGGGGGCGAATTCGTCGATTCCCCTAAAAAGAGAGCTGGCACCAGCTGCACCGCGTCCGCCGCTTCTGCAAGGAGACATATGCCAGCAAGATGTGCGTGCGTGCTACTTCCACGAAATCTTACAACTGCCCGCCACTCAAGAGGCAACCCAGAGAAGGTGAGACAGAGACACTACGTCATATTGCTCCATGTCTCCCGCACAGCAACAGGAACCAAGCAGGTAACCCTCCAGGAAGCAGCGGGTGATGTCCTAGCGCTGCTTGCAGCGAAGGCCGCCGCTGGAAGGCGGCCAGAAAGAGTGGATCGCGATGATGCATCTAAAGCGCTCCAGCTGATGGGACCGTTTCTGCCAGAGCGGCCCGCAAAGGCAAGAGCTGTGAGCACTAACTACCAGATCGTCGTGAATGCCCGCCGCGAGGGCGGCCAGAGGGAGAGGCACAGTGAGGGCCGGGGGAGGAAAAGAGGAATGGGGGCTCGGACGCGCAAAGGCTGCGCCAGCTGCTTACAAGACAAGCCACCTGCAGCATGGCCACGCTGCGCCCCCCCAGTGACTGTGCCTCCACAGCGGCCTGAAAACACTACAGCGAGAGATCGCGATGGTCCATTCAAAAACGGCAGCGCCTCTCTCACGCTGTGAACGCCGCGTCACAAGAGGGAGGCCAGAGGGAGCAGGCAGAAAGCGAGGTGGACCCTGCACGCCCAAACGCTGCGCGCTCAAGCGCCCGCCTCATCCACAGCGACTGGCCGACAGGGATAGGCTCCGCCACGATGCTCGTTATCAGCATGCTTCAGGGGCACGCGACGGAGGGGGAGGCCGAAGCAACGGCCCCGCCACACTGCACGTCAGAAGGGGGTCGAAGACAAGCTCGAGAGGCACGCGGCGGGGGGGGGGGCCTGTCGGGGAAGGGCCGGCAAGGCGGCGGTGAGCAGCAGACCATCCCCAGCGGAGGATGGGGGAGGCCGCGGACAGCAGCGAGGCAGCGAGGAGAGGGGGAGGAGGAGCGGTGGCGCACCGTGGAGACCGCACGGTGGGGCCCCCGCGGGGCCCCAGGCCTCGAAGGGCTGCGGGCCTCCTCGGAGCAGAGACGGGCACCTGACGCGACGTGAGCCCCCCCCGGGCGTGCCAGAGGCGGCGCCGCCAGAGAACGTCTGCCAGGCGCTGCAGCGGCGGGAGGGCCTCCTGTAGGGGAAGGAACGATGACATGAACGCAAAAACTCTGAGGTCCGCGCTGATTCCTCGGATCGTCGCTCACCCCCCCCTCCCTGGCGCGCGGAGCGCGCCAGGGACGGCGCCGGAGGCGCCGCCAGGGGGGTTGAGCGCCGATCCGAGAAATCCGCGCGGACCTCAGAGTTTTTACGTTCATACCATTTTTGGACGCCCGAGATGGGTACGGAAACAATGGGTACAATGCCCAACAACAAATGTTGTCCCAAACCAACAGCGGCCGCTGTTGGGCAGGCGGCCTCCTGTCTCAAATGGACACGGGCCGCGGCGGCACCGACAGCGAGTCCTGTTCGAAATGAACAGGAACTGCTGTTGGGCACTGTACCCAGTCCTTCCGTACCCATCTCGGGCGTCCAGATCATTGGTTCCTTCCCCTACTCCGGGGCGCGACTCGGAGCTCGGCGCGGAGCTCGCCTGGGTGCCGCCGCCGGAGAGAGAGCCTGCGGCCGCTCTTGGCCGCCGGTGCCCCGCGCAGGCAGGCACGAAGCCCGAGGCCGCCACCGCCGCCCGGGACTGTCGGCCGCCACGGCTTCGGCGGCGCCGCTGGCGCTCGCGCACCGGCTTCTCTGAGAGGCAAAAGACTCGCCGATCACCTCCTGCCCCTCCTCCTCCTCCTCCTCCTCCTCTTCTCCTCCTCCTCCTCCTCCTCTTCCTCGTCCTCCTCCTCCTCCTCCTCCTCCCGCCCCTATCCCGGGCTCCTCCTCCCTCCCCGCCCCGAGTGGCTCGAAGCTGCCCAGAGCTCACGCTCGCATCCGCTCAGGCGCGGTCCGCGCACCTCAGCGCCGCGACCGCCCACGCGAGGTTGGCCACCTCCTGGGGGGCCAGCTCGGGGAGCCTCCCACGGGCGCGGGCCGCGATGGACACCAGCAGCGACCTGTGGCTCCCCGAGAGCTCCGCCAGGGCCCAGGCCATGTTGGCCAGGTTCCGCGTCCTGAACTGGCCCATGCTTGGCATCGCCCGCGACGCGATGGCAGCCAGCAGGGGGTTGTCCCTGACCACCAGCGTGGCCAAGGACCAGGACAGGTTCGCCAGCTCACGCGGGCCGAAGGCGCCCTCGTCGGCGGGGAGGGTCGCTATCGTCTGCGCGGTCAGGCCGTCCAGGAGAGGCGCGTCGTGGAACTCCAGTGCGGCGCACGACCACACCATGGCCGCAAGCTCTCCGGGCCCAAACTCGTGCTGCCGTCGGAGCGACGCAGAGGAGATCGACGTGAGCAGCGGCTCGTGCCAAAACCCGAGCGCTGCGAAAGCCCAGAAGGTGTTCGCGAGGTCCTGGGAGCCGCACTGCCACCCGAGCGGCGCGGCCGCGGACATCGAGGCGTCCGCGATGGCGGAGAGCAGGGGGCCGTGCCGAACGAGGAGCGCCGCGAATGCCCACGCGGTGTTCGCCAGGTCCCGCGGCGGGAACCTGCTGACCTGGCGGGGGCGCCCAAGAGGGGGGGGGGTCCAAGAAAGGGCGGGGGGGCGCAAATCGTGGCCGGCGGCATGTGCGCGGCCCAGAGGGGGCGGGGGAGGGGGCCAGGGACGCATTGAAGTGGGGAGATGCGCCATGAAATCTGGAGAGATACCATGGCCCTGGCCATGAACGGCGGGGGGGGGGGGGCGCAAATCGTGGCGGGCGGCATGTGCGCGGCCCAGAGGGGGGGGGGGGGGGCAGGGACGCATTGGAGTGGGGGCGCCGTGAAATCTGGGGTGAATACCATGGCCCTGGCCATGAACTCTCCCCCCCCCTGGTCATCGCCCCCCTCGTGGCCGCTCCCGAGACCTGGCGGGAAAGGAGGAGAAGGAGGAGGAGGAGGACGACGACGACGACCACCACGACGAGCAGGAGGGGAAGGAGGAGAAAGAGGAGGAGGAGGAGGAGGAGGAGGAGGAGGAGGAGGAGGAGGAGAAGGAGGAGGAGGAGAAGGAGGAAGAGGACGAGGACAAGGAGGAGGAGGAGGAGGAGGAGGAGAAGAGAAGGAGAAGGACGAGGAGGAGGAAGAGGAGGAGGAGGAGGAGGAGGAGGAGGAGGAGGAGGAGGAGGAGGAGGAGGAGGAGGAGGAGGAGAACAGGAGGAGGAGGAAGAGGAGGACGAGGAGGAGAAGGACGAGGATGGGGAGGAGGAGGACGAGGAGGAGGACGAGGAGGAGGAGGACGAGGAGGAGGAGGACGAGGAGGAGATGGAGGAGGAGGAGGAGGAGAAGGAGGCGGAGGAGGAGGCACAAAGGGGCAGGTCTGGGCCAACCCTGAACTCTCTGGGCCCCGGCGTGGGTAGAGGCCTTCTAGATGGGATCGGAGTAGGTAGGGTCGGAGGATCGCGCCGCATCGCCGATACATCGACGACGCATCAGCGATGCATCGGCGATGCACCGGCGATGCACCGGCGATGCATCGTCGACGCCGGCGATGCACCAGCGACGTCGACGTGAAGCAAATCGGGCTCCACATCGAGCCGCATCGGCGATGCATCGGCGATGCGGCGATTCTCCGACCCCATCTTCTCGGAGCCCATTTAAGGGGAGGAGGAGGAGGAGGAGGAGGAGGAGGAGGAGGAGGAGGAAGACGAGGAGGAGGAGGATTGAGGAGGAGGAGGATGAGGAGGAGGACGGAGGAGGAGGAGCAGAAGGAGGAAGAGAAGGAGAAGGACGAGGAGGAGGAGGAGGAGGAGGCGGAGGAGAAGGACGAGGAGGAAGACGAGGAGGAGGAGGAGGAGGAGGAGGAGGAGGAGGAGGAGGAGGAGGAAGAGAAGGACGAGGAGGAGGAGGAGGAGGAAGAGGAGGAGGAGGGACGAGGAGGAGGAGGGAGGAGGAGGAGAAAGCCCAGCAAAAGGTCAAGGGCGCTCAGGGGGCCCCAGCGTGGGGAATGCGTGCGCGGGCCGAGCGTCTCCCACGACGCCCTCGGCCTGCCCGGCCGGAGGAGCGCGCCGCCGCGGAGCGAGACGCTCCCGCTGCGCCCAAAGGGCCCGGGGCCTCTGGCGGCGCGGCCGCTGCCGCCCGGGCGCCTGCTCCCAGACACGCGGCCCCTCCGAGGCCGAGGGCCTCGTAGAGGCCTGCTGGACGGGGTGCCAGGCATGCAGCCCCTGAGAGGCCTCCCAGACATGCGGCCCCTCCGAGGCCAAGGGCCTCTTGGAGACCTGCTGGATGGGGTCCCAGACATGCAGCCCCTGAGAGGCCTCCCAGGTGGGGTCCCAGACATGCGGTTGGTTTTGGGTTGGAAGGTGGACTTGCATCTGAGATATCTGTCTCGGCACCGGAGCCTGATCTGCACATGCAAGCATCCGTCGGCGCGAGGCTCGAACCCGCTAAGGGAGCAAGGGTGCAGGCAGCGTGACCCAGAGTGCTGCCCGAGCCAACGGAAAATCATTGCTACGCGTGACTGTTGCTACGTTCCAGATGGGGTCCCAGACATGCGGACCCTCCGAGGCAAAGGGCACAGCATCTGGGCCGCACGTCTGAAACAGCTCGCCGGCCTGCCATCTCTGGAGCTCGCTAGGAGCGAGCGCCCGATGAGGGGAACGGATCAGAGAAATCCGCGCGGACCTCCGAGTTTTATGTTTGTCATTCTTCGTTCCCCCATTAGAGGCCTCCTAGATGGGATCCGAGTAGGTGGGCTTGGAGGATCGAGCAGCATCGGCGATGCATCGCCGATGCATTGGCGATGCGCCCGCGACGCCGGCGGTGCATCGGCGACGTCGGCGTGGAGAGAATCGGGCTCCACATCGAGGCGGAGCGTTGCTGGGCCTCACGGGGTCCCCAGGGCTATCAAAAACCAGTCTTGGGCAGAAAAAAAAATACCCCAGTGCGACCCTACCTAGAAGTTGGAGCCCCTAGGAAAGCAGCATTGGTTGCTATGCTATGCTATGCTACGCTATGCTGTGCCGTGTTATGCTGCGCTATGCTATGCTATGCTATGATATGATATGCTTAACTATGATATGCCATGCTGCGCTGTGCTATGCTAAGCTATGATATGATATGCTATGATATCGTATGTTAAGCTGCGCAATGATATGCTATGCTATGCTATGCGATGCTGCGCTGTGCTATGCTGTGTTGTGCTGTGCTGCGCTATGCTATGCTATGCTATGCTATGCTATGCTATGCTATGCTATGCTGCGCTATGCTATGCTATGCTGGGCTATGTTATGATATGCTGTGCTGCGCTATGCTATGCTATGCTATGCTATGCTGTGCTCTGCTATGCTAAAGCTCAGCAAAGCTAAGATGAAGGTAAGCTATCTAAGCTAAACCTGAGCTAAGATGAAGCTAAGCTAAGCTAAGATGAAACAAACTAAGCTCAGATGAGATAAGCAACGCTAAGCTAAGGGGACGTAACTGGGGGAACCGCGGGGCGGATACTGGGGGAACCGCCTGGGGCGTGGAACACTGCCCGGCCCTTTAAGCATACCGAGTAAGAACCCTTCTAGGCAGAGCCTAGATAGGGAAAAACAACAACAACCCCGGGAAAGAGGTCGGGCCCTCTGGTCGGGAAGGCGTGAGACTCGGGGAGGCGTGAAACTCGAGCTCAGGGGGGCTCGGGTTGACCTGACGGGGCAGGCAGGAGAAGAAGGAGACCCAGCCTGAAACTCGACGCGAGCTCCAGCTGCAAACATCCAAGACAAAAACTTCGGTGGCGGCCAAGAGGGGGGGTCCAAGTGGGGAGGGCGCAAATCATGGCCGGCCGCATGTGCGCGGCCCTTTGTGGGGGACCAGGGACGTAATGAAATAAACGGCGCCATGACATCTGGGGAGATCTCACGGCAAAAGCCATCCTATCCACCCCCCCCTAGTCATCACCCCCCTCCTGGCCGCCCCCGAAAACTGGGCCGGCAAAAAATCCAGGACGGGCTCTTCAGAAAGCGTCGTGTAGCGCTCGAGAGTTCCGGCGAGCTCGAGGCTTTTGCGTGGCCCCGACCTGGGGCCCGTTGACGGCCGGGCCTTCTTACCGGGCCCAAGGGCCGTCAGAGGCGGACCCGGGGCGGCAAAAAACAATCCTGGGATTATGTTGCTCCATTGATCCCATCGTACTTAAGGACCGCATCACCAACATAAATTCGAGCCCCCAGAGGAGTATCGAAACAGTGCCTCTCCGACACGCTCGCGAAGTGTCGAGCGAGTGTATCGCCTGCCAGGGCCCGCCACGTGAAAACCCTCCGGTCTCGTTGCTGTCTTGGTGCTCGAAATTCTTCCTGGTGGTCAAGGCTATAGTAGGTTGGAACATCACAACTCTGGGAAATGGGGGTCGGGACCTCTAGGGCTAAAAAGGTACCGACACTGGAGGCAGCAACAATACCAACGATCATGACCAAGAGACTGAACGCGGAAACGTCGGTGTCGATCTTGGTTTTCGTCCATCCTGGTCATCGTCAATCCGTGGCCCATCCTCTCCCGAATCGGCGACGGCAGGCATGGACCATGACCAATACAAGCGTCGACAAGGTCCCACGAGATATTGATCATGATAGTGCCGCCTCTTCCCTCGAGGCACCGCTGCTCCACGAACCTCTATGCAGGGGTGCGTCCTGACCAGAATCTCGAAGCGAAGCTGACCGTGGCAAGGAGGACAGGGTAGGAGTAGGTGGCCTCCTCCTCCTCCTTTTCCTCCTCCTCCTACTTTTCCTCCTCCTCCTCCTCCTCTTCCTCCTCCTCCTCCTCCTCCTCCTCCTCCTCCTCCTCCTCCTCCTCCTCCTCCTCCTCCCTGGGATTTCATCGTGCTTTCTCTCTCTCGCTGGCCTGCGAGAGGGCCGCGGCCGCGATCCCCTCGAGCAGGGGCCCGTCCACGACGCCCAGGGCCGCCCACGCCCACGCCTGGGGGAGGAATCGCAACGCCAGCGACTCAAGGACACGAGGAGGAGGAGAAGGAGGAGGAGGAGAAGGAGGATGAGGGAGGAGGGGGGAGGAGGAGGAGGAGGAGGAGGAGGAGGAGGAGGAGGAGAAGGAGAAGAAGGAGCGTGCGACTCGATGGCACACCCCGACCGTGGAAGCCGTCTGCGCTCCTCTGCTGCAGGAATCGGGCGGGGGACGAAGAATGACATCAACCAAAAAAAAAATCGCGCCGCGGGTGCACCGCCGATGCACCGCTGGCGTCGCGGGTGCACCGCCAATACATCGGCGATGCATCGCCGATGCGGCTCGATCCTCCAAGCCCATCTACGCCGACCCCATCCAGGAGGCCTCTAAAAGGGTTCACGAGCAATGACACAAACAGAAAAACTCGGGGGTCCGCACGGAATTCTCGGATCCGCGCTGGGATCCCCCTCCCCGCGCTCCGCGCGCCAGGGAGGGGGGTCCAGCGCCGATCCGAGAAACCCACGCGGACCTCCGAATTCTTATGTCTATGCCAGTCTTCGTCCCCCTAGGGAAGACCAGTCTTTCAGGAAACCAAAAAAAGAGCAACACGCTCAGGGGTTCCGAACTTGCGGCGTGCCGTTCATACACTCACAGACATCCGACGCCGTGTTTTGTCGTTCACCGTGGCTCGCCAGAGGTCTATACTTAAGTCGGGCGTGTCCCCCTACAGGCGGATTTTGGGCGAAAACGTAAACATACTCAGAAGTACCCCCAAATAGCCCAAAAAATCAACAAACATCGTCCCCAGACTATTTCCCGACCTAGGCTCTGCCTAGAAGGGTTCTTACTCTCTTAGCTTAAAGGGGCCGGGCAGTGGAACACGCCCCGGGCGGTTCCCCCTGTCCCCTGGGAGCGGTTCCCCCCAGTCCCCTGGGAGCTTTAGCTTTAGCTTTAGTTTTAGCTTTAGCTTTAGCTTTAGCTTTAGTTCTAGTTTTAGCTTTAGCTTTAGCTTTAGCTTAGCTTTTGCTTAGCTCTAGCTCAGCTTAAGCTTAGCTGTAGCTTAGCTTTAGCTCAGCGTTTCGCTTAGCTGTTCGCTAAGCGTTTAGCTTAGCTTTAGCTTAGCTTTAGCTTAGCTTTAGCTTAGCTTTAGCTTAGTGTTAGCTTAGCTTCCGCTTAGCTTTAGCTTAGCGCTAGCTTAGCTTTAGCTTAGCTGCTGCTCAGCTTTAGCTTAGCTTTAGCTTAGCTTTAGCTTAGCTTTAGCTTAGCTTTAGCTTAGCTTTAGCTTAGCTTTAGTTTAGCTGTGGTTTAGCTTTAGTTTAGCTTTAGCTTAGCTTTAACTTAGCGTTACTGTTACTACGAATGCTGCTTTCCTAGGGGTTCCAACTCCTAGGTAGGGTCGCACTGGGATAACAGCGAAGACTATAGGTTTCTAATGGTCTCAAAAGAAAGCATCATGACTCCCCAGGGGGGTCCGGGCAGGATCCGGGGAGAATCCGCGGATCCGCCAGTGACTATGGGGAACGCACCACTGAGGCTGAGGCTGAGGCCCCCAGCGCCGCCAGTGACTATGGGGAATGCACCACTGAGGCTGAGGCTGAGGCCCCCAGCGCCGCCTGTGAGTATGGGGAACGCACCACTGAGGCTGAGGCTGAGGCCCCCAGCGCCACCAGTGACTACGGGGAACGCACCACTGAGGCTGATGCTGAGGCCCCCAGCGCCGCCAGTGACTATGGGGAATCCACCGCTGAGGCTGAGGCTGAGGCTGAGGCTGAGGCTGAGGCTGAGGCTGAAGTAGGCTGAGGCTGAGGCTGATGCAGGCTGAGGCTGAGGCTGAGGCTGAGGCTGAGGCTGGGGCTGGGGCTGGGGCTGGGGCTGAGGCTGATGCAGGCTGAGGCTGATGCAAGCTGAGGCTGAGGCCGAGGCTGACGCAGGCTGAGGCTGAGTGAGGCAGGCTGAGGTTGAAGCTGGGGTTGAGGCTGAAGCTGAGGCTGAGGCAGACGCTGAGGCAGGCTGATGCTGAGGCAGGCTGAGGCTGAGGCTGAGGCTGACGCAGGCTGAGGCTGAGGCAGGCCGAGGCTGAGGCCGAGGCCGAAGGCAGACTAAGGCTGCGCGCGCTGAGGCAGGCTGATGCTGAGGCAGGCTGAGATTCCCGGGTCATTTGTTGAATGCGAGGAGCCAACTGTAGCCCACTTCGCGTTCTTCGCGTTCCCAGAACACACCTCGGGCTCCCCGCCGTCAAAGCGCAACTCCCCCCTGGGGTTCAGGAGGAGTCGGAGGGGGGGAACGGGTGGGAGGAGCACGGGGACGTGCAGGAGGAGGAGGTGGACGACGAGCAGAAGGAGGAGGACGAGGACGAGCAGGAGGAGGAGGAGGAAGAGGAGGAGGGGGAGGAGGAGGAGGAGGAGGAGGAGGAGGAGGAGGAGGAGGAGGAGGAGGAGGAGGGGGAGGAGGAAGAGGAGGAGGAGGAGGAGGAGGGGGAGGAGGACGAGCCGGAGCAGGTGGAGGACGAGGAGGGGGAGGAGGACGAGCACGGGGAGGAGGACGACAAGGAGGAGGAGGAGGACGGACGAGCAGGAACGGAGGAGGACGAGGAGGAGGAGGACGACGAGCAGGAGGAGGAGGAGGAGGAGGAGGAGGAGGAGGAGAACGACCAGGAGGAGGAGGAGGAGGAGGAGGACGACGGGAGGGCGGCCGGCTGCCCCGGCCGGCTGCCCCGGCCGGTCGCCGCGCAGCAGTTTCGGCCTTCGGAGGAGGAGGCGGGGGAGGAGGGGGAGGACGAGGGGGGGGCGCTTCGGCCCGGCGCGTTCTGACCACCTCCGCAAATCTATGGGGCGCCCCCCCCGCCGCGAGAAGCGGTCGCGGGGGGGGCGCCCTGGAGGGCGTGCGTCGTCGTCGTCGTCGCCCGGTGTTGATTCCACTTGTTTTAAATTTATCTGCTCTGAATTTGCCCGTTTCGAATTCATCCTGCTTGAATTCGCCCGGTTCAAACCATATGGTTCTAGTTCGCCCGGTATCAATTCGCCGCGCGAATCGCGCAAAGCAAGAGCAGGCAAAACCGAAGCAGACCAGACAGAAGCGGGCGAAGTCCCTCGGGGCTCTCTGCGACATGATCTTCGCGGAGAATCCACGGGCGCTTCTTCGGCCGTCTGGGTGCCATTTTGGCGCGGGGGGGGCGCTGGGGCCTCTCGGGAGCTTGTTGAACGCATCTTTTTACGGCGGAGCAACGGGGGAACACATAGGGGAATGGCAGCAGGCGCAATAGTTCGCTCGCCTGAACTAATGCGCGCGAACTATTGCGAGGGCGCACGAACTATTGCAAACCGCCTGAACTATTGCGCACGAAACAAAACAAAGCAACACCCGCGCGGAACTATTGCATCCACGCCGCAAACTATTGCATCCAAGCACCAACTATTGCATGAACTATTGCGCCTACCCCGGCCCCCCCATTTGCGCCCCCCCATTACTCCGGCTCTGGGGCCTGCTGCGCTGCAGTGAGCTCGGCGATCGCCGCCGTCAACCCCGCGATCGCGTCGGCCGTCCGCGGCGCCCGGCCGAGCCCGACCCGCCGCGCAGCCGCGCCCCCCTGGGCTGGCGCGGCCGCCGCGGCGGCCGGTCCGCCGCCAGGCGCTGCCGGCCCTGGCGGCCCAGCCCGCGGCTCCGGCGGCGGCGGCGCCCGGCGGGCCCTCCGCGCGGCCGGCGAGCCCTCCGGGGCGCCCGGCGGCATCTCAGCCAACCTCGGGGTCGGAGCCAATGGGTTCGGAAACGCATCCGCAATGCATCTTCCGACCCCATCGGCCCCGGTCGCATTTGAACCGCCCGGGCGGCCCCAGCCTGCGCTGCCTGCGCTCCCTCTGCGCCGCCCACGAGAAGGCGGGGGCGTCTGCTGGGGCGCATGCCCTGCGCAGGGTGGGCTGGCCGCCCTCGAGGAACGAACGGCGCGCGACCGCGCCCGCGGGGGGCCGGGGAGGGGCGGCGAGGGCGGCAGGGAAGGCATGCGCATATTTCTCGCGAGCACCGACCCCTCGAGCATCCAATAAAGTAAAAAAGCGGAACTGCATCCCCTTTCCCTGACTCCCCCCCGTCGCCCCTCCGACTCCCCTCCGCGCGCGGGCGCGCACTGTTCGCCCACCCTGTCCTCGTCCTGCACCCGCTCGGCTCTGCGCTGGCCCGCGCAGCAGGGGCCTCGCGCCTCCTCTGCGCGGCACGGGTACCTCGCCGCAGGCCCGTTCGCGCAGCGGCACAGGCGGCCGCCCGGTCGCGCCATGAGTGGCTGGCGGAGCCGCCGGCGCAGCGGCGAAAGCATCGGGAGCGGCCAAGAGGGGGGTGCCTAAGGGGGGGGGCAAATCATGACCGGCGGCATGTGCGCAGCCCAGCGGGGGGGCCAGGGACGTAATGAAGTAAGAAGAGGCGCCACGAAATCTGGGGAAATATCATGGCCCCCGCCATGATATCCACCCCCCCCTAGTCATCACCCCCCTCTTTTCCGCTCCCGAAAGCAAGCCCGGCCGGACTTGGCCGCGTCGAACCAGAGCCGCACACAGAGGCAACGAAGATGGCCATCCAAGACGGTCCCAAGACGCCTCCAGGACGGCCAAGATGGCCCCAGGAGAGCCCAACATGATGCCAGGAGGCGTCCAGGACGGCCCAAAAAGCCTCGAAGAGGTCCTCTAAGGATGCCCGAAGAGGACCACATCAATTTCCCATGCAAGTGTTTAACGTGCTGTCACTTTTTTACCTAACAGATTTGCTGATAGGCTTCTAGTGGGATCAAAACAGAACATCTTGACGCCCCAGGGGGGTCTGGGCGGGATCCGGACAAGGAACCGAACAAAACTGCAGCCCCAGGAACCCTTAGAATCCTTATGAATTCTTAAGAATTCTTAGGAAGCCATTCCCAGAACACCACTCCCAGGCCACATTTTGAATGCCCGGAGCCAACTGTAAGCCACTTCGTGTTCTTCGTCTTCCCAGAACACCATTCCCAGGCCACATTTTGAATGCCCAGAGCCAACTGTATGCCACTTCGTGTTCTTCGTCTTCCCAGAACACCATTCCCAGGCCACACTTTGAATGCCCGGAGCCAACTGTAGGCCACTTCGTGTTCTTCGTCTTCCCAGAAAACCACTCCCAGGACACATTTTGAATGCCGGGGGCCAACTGTAGGCCACTTCGTGTTCTTCGTCTTCCCAGAACATAATTCCCAGGCCACATGTTGAATGCCCAGGGCCAACTCTAGGCCACTTCGTGTTCTTCGTTCGTGGTCCCGGAACACAAGTCCTGTGCCATATTGTGAATACCCGAGCTGAGGCAGGCTGAAGCCGAAGCAAACTGAGGCCGAGGCTGAGGCACGCCGGGGCAGGCTGAGGCACGCCGAGGCAGGCTGAGACTGAGGCTGAGGCAGGCTGAGGCTCAGGCAGGCTGAGGCTGAGGCTCTGACGCAGGCTGAAGCCGAGGCAGGCTGAAGTTGAGGCTGAGGCAGGCTGAGGCTGAGGCTGAGGCAGGCTGAGGCTGAAGCTGAGGTCGATGCAGGCTGAGGCTAAGAGGCTGACGCTGAGGCTGAGGCAGCCTGAGGCTGAGGCTGAGGCCGAGGCAGGCTGAGGCTGAAGCTGAGGCAAGCCGAGGCAGGCTGAGGCTGAGGCTAAAGCTGAGGCAGGCTGAGGCTGAGGCCGAGGCTGAGGCTGAGGCTGTGGCTGAGGCTGAGGCAAGCTGCGGCTGAGGCTGATGCAGGCTGAGGCTGATGTAGGCTGAGGCTGAGGCAGGCTGAGGCTGAGGCTGAGGCAGGCTTAGGCTGAGGCTGAGGCCGAGGCCGAGGCCGAGGCAAGCCGAGGCAGGCTGAGGCTGAGGCTGAGGCTGATGCTGAGGCAGGCTGAGGCTGAGACAGGCTGAGGCTGAGGCTGAGGCAGGCTGAGGCTGAGGCAGGCTGAGGCTGAGGCCGAGGCAGGCGAATCCTTCGGAGTCCTTATGGTCCTTAGGAATCCTTAGGAATCCTTAGGATTCCATTGGATCCTAAGGCCGTTGCCACTGCGACTGTCATTGCGAATGCGACTGCGACTGCGAGAACAGCAGAATTCTACAACTGGATTCTCACTTGAAGCTTAAGGGGCATGCTTCCAGATATGCTTATACACATCGCTGTTAGGTTGCTTTGCCGGGATAATTTGACTTTGTTTGAATATTCCTCCTGTAGATGGACAGGCCCGACTTAAGTCTGTATCCCTTGACCTATCTAAGGAAACGAACTCTATACACCGACGCTTTTTCCGACCCCGCGCTGGAACTCGCACAGGAACGCGGATCCTGGTGTATACGGGATCCTGGTGTATACGTTTTTCGTTGCTTCCCTGGGAAGCCGGGGGAAAAGTATACACCACACCACCCCGACGTCGCCCCCGACCCTCAAAAAGCTGTGGGACTGAAAAAACAACCCGCCACTGGTAGTATATATGTTCCAATTTGAGGGGGCCACATGCGAACCCTACTCCTACCCCCCACGATTTCTGAGGGGGAGGGTGGGGTTCACTTCGTTCGGGAGCTCACGAGCGAGGTGAACCCCACCCTCCCCCTCAGAAATCGTGGGGGGGAGGGGTAGAGGGTTCGCATGTGGCCCCCTAAAACTGGAACATATACACTACATGTGGCGGGTTGTTTTTTCAATCCCACGATTTTTTGAGGGTCGGGGGCGACGTCGGGGTGAACCCCACCCTCCCCCTCAGAAATCGTGGGGGGCAGGGGTAGAGGGTTCGCACGTGGCCCCCTAAATTTGCGACTATCCGCCCCCGCCGCGGGAGATCCTCGTCGACCCGCTTCCGGGCCAGAAGCTCGGGCCACTGGCAGCGGATCGAGAAGCTCCGGGCACCCCCCCGGCACGCCCTCGGCGAGGCGCGGCCGCTGGAGAGCATCGGAGCATCGGAGCACCAAC